CAACCATTTCCTGATGCCCTCCTTCAGCTGCCTCACCAGTGCCTGCACATCTGGTGACAGCAGCCTGCCCCAGCCAGGAACATTGATGCCCTGGAACTTCTTCATTTGGTTTTCCAGTTCCCTCACTATGGGGATCACCTGGCTGAGGAGGGCATTGCCAGCGCTGAGGTCTCAGTGACCTCAAGGAAGGGCTTGAGGACCGCCAAGATCTGGGAGATGGTATCCCACTGAGCTCTGTTAAGGGGGCTGCTGATCCCAATCTCCCCAAGCAAGGCCATCTCATGGATGGCCTTCTGTTGTTCAACCAGCCTCTCGAGCATCAGGTTTGTGGAGTTCCACTGAGTCTCCACATCCTGCATGGTTTTGTGCTGCAGGATGCTCAGCTCTGCCTGTTTCTCCCACAGCATCTTGCCTGTCTTGATGCTGCAGTGGAAGTAGCCTGCCACCTTCCTGCATTTTGAAATCAACTGGGTGGTAGTGATGGTGACATCACTGGCAGCCCTATTCCCCTCCAAGGCATCCCTGACTATGAGGTGGAACTTGTGTGCTACACGGCAGATGCCAACAAAATTGGCATCCCAGACCGCCTTGACCATATTGGCCCCATTGTCAGTGACCATAAACCCGTAGGTGAGCTTGGCTTGTCCAGTGAGCCACCCCTACACCATGCGGTTCATGGCCACCATGATCTCCCTTGCCGTGTGGGACTCATCTATCACCTCCGCTTGAAGAAGAGTCCACCGATGGCCTGACCGATTGCACCAGTGCTCTGTGAGAAAGAGGTAGGTGTGATCTCAACCCCGGCTGCTCCAGACGTCCGAGGTGAAGTGCAAGGCTACCTGCAGCCCTGCCTTGCGCAGCTCCTCCTTCAAGTACTCCATGCATGCCTCATGCAGGGAGGGCACCACCATGCTGCTACAGGTGGTGCATGTGGGCACTTAGTAGGATAGGGCTATGAGCTGACTGAACCCTGGCCACTCAGCAAAGGAGAAGGGCTGGCCATGCACAGCAAGGATCTCCCCAATGCTCTGGGTAACCTCACTCACCCTTGCAACACACGTCCCTCTGCAGCTTTCCCTCACCACTCCAGGGTGGCTTGCCTCTTCTTTGTGTGGACATGGGCTTTGGAGCAAGAGGGGGACTTTCCTTTGGGCGCACACCCACTGGTGCCAGGCTGAGGAGGAAGAAGGCCAAGGGGGTGCTGCCTTCTGAGATGCAGCAGCATCGCTGTGGTGCTGACGTGTTTCACCTTCTTGCCCTGGCTGATCTGCCTTCAGCAGTGCTGGCAGATAACATACTTGGGATCATCTGCCACCTCAGAATGATCCCACACTACACTATCTCCCTGCCTCTGGGTTGAGGGTGGGGATCCTGCCTTATTCCCCTCAACAGGCTGAGGCACAACAAGAGGAGGAGCTGACACAGTTGAGTCACTTGCCTCCACCTCAACCCCCTCTGAGGTGCTGTTTTCCAGAGAAGGAAACCTGGGTCAAGGGGAATTTTGAGGGGCATGGAGCACAAACTCTGATTCCTCCTCAGTCCCTAGAATTTCTTTTGCTACAGCGCTCACGTCCTCTGCTTCCATATCCAGCTCCTCCTCTGGCACTGGGAGGCTCATGCTGGGAGATGAAATTGGGGTGGAGGAGACTGTCATTCTGCTGGTGGTGGCTATTTCTGGTGTTAGTAGCCGCTGCTCCCACCTCTTTGGTCCCACTGGCAGCAGAAGACTCATGGCTGCCAGGAAAGAGGGTGCGCCTATGTTTGGGAGGGAAACTTGCAGTTCTAGCTCTCCCCCTACCCCCTTTAGCCCCTCTCCCTCCCAGCATGCTTCATATTAATCTTTCCTGTGCTGGAAAACGTGTCTGTGTACATGTGCTGCTGTAATATCTCTTCTTCTTCTCTGATTACTGTATGGATTCATAGATTGTTAGGGGCTGGAAGGGACCTTCTAGATCATCGAGTCCAGTCCCCCTGCACTAGGCAGGAAAAGACAACTAGGGTCAAGTGACCTCAGCAAGGTGACTGTCCACTCTTCTCTTGAAAACCACCAGGGTAGATGACTGCACCACCACTGCAGGGAGTTTATTCCACAGTCTGGACACCCTGACTGAAGGAGTTTTTCCTGGAATTGAACCTGAAGCGGCCTTCCGGGAGTTTGTATCCATTGCTCCTGGTCTTCCCCAGGGGTGCCTGGTGAACAGCTGTTCACTGAGTTCTTGATGTACTCCCCTAGTGTAGCGGTAAGCCACTACCAAGTCCCCGCTTAGCCTTCTCTTCTGTAGGCTGAAGTGGCCCAAGTCCATCAGCCTCTCCTCGTATGGCTTGTCTTGCAAGTCCCTGATCATATGGCCCTTCTCTGGACCCTCTCAAGTTGTTCCATGGCCTTGTTGAAGTGCAGTGCCCAGAACTGGACACAGTACTCCAGCTGTGGTCTCACCAGTGCAGAGTACAATGGGAGTATCACTTACTTAGTTTTACACGAGATGCAATGGTTAGTGTATGCCAGTGTGTTGTTTGCCCTGCTAACCGCAGCACCACACTGTCGGCTCATGTTCATGCGATGGTCGATCACTACCCCTACGTCCCTTTCGGCTGTGGTGCAAGTGAAATTGTTGCCATCGAGCCTGTAGGTATGTTGGGGATTGTTTGCCCCCAGATGGAGCACCTTACACTTCTGAGTGTTGAACTTTATCTGGTTCTGGTCCACCCCACTCTTGAACCTGTCCAGGTCTGCCTGTATCTGCAGCCTATCTTCTGGCATGGCCACGCTCCCCCATAACTTGGTGTAATCTGCAAACTTGGCCAGCGAGCTTTTCACCCCCACATCCAAATCATTGATAAAGATGTTGAAAAGCACCAGTCCTGAGGGACACCACTGACCACTTCTCACCAGCATGACACATGAGAACTCTCTGGGTCCTCCCATGCAGCCAGTTTTCCACCCACTGAACTGTTGAGCAGTTAAGCCCACAATCTTCCAATTTTTCCACAAGGATATGGTGGGGGATACTAAATCAAAAGCCTTTTGGAAGTCTAGTTATATAATGTCGACCTTCTCTCCCATGGTGAGAGACCTGTTCATAGAAGGAGATGAGATTGGTAAGACAGGACCTACCCGCGATGAAGCCATGCTGGCTGTCATTCAGAATTTTACCCTCAACAAGTGTATTGCACATAGATTCTTTAATGAGTTTTTTCAGGATTTTCCCTGGGATGGAGGCTAGGTTGACTGGCCTATAGTTGCCCGGGTCCTCCCTCTTCCCCTTCTTGAAGATGGGCACAATGTTGGCCCTCTTCCAGTCCTCAGGGATCTCCCCTGTGTGCCACAATTTTTGAAAGTTTTGCCGGGGGTTTCACAATGACCTCAGCCAGCTCCATCAGCACTCTCTGGTGAAGTCCATCTGGTCCTGCTGACTTATAAATGTCTAGCTTTTCTCGTTGGTTTTGCACCAACTCAGCATCCACATTGGGAAGGCTATCATTCCCACCATGCCCTTTGTGATCCTTATCTTGCTTGTCTTTCCCCTCGGTCCGGTGAAATACCATAAGAATGTGTCTGACTTCTTCTGTGTTGTGTTTAGTTTACTGTATGTGTGTGTAATTAATAATAGTAATATCTCCTCTTTGTGTATGTGTGCGTGTGTGTGCGTGCATGCGTGCTTTCCTGCACAGTGATGGATCACACTGCCAGGGAAAACACAGCTTTCTTTTTAAAAAGTGTGAGGGATAAAAAAACCAAGAGCAAATAAGAGGCTTTGGGGGGAAAGAATAAGTTGGAAAAAAATGGATTGGATAGGGAAGAGGGATTCTAGTTAGTAAGCTGTATCCAATCCTTTCCAAAAACAAACTAGCAGGAGACTAACTAGGAAGCCAAGCCAGTCTAGTACCTTTCAGACACTGTTGCTCAGGCAAAAACAGCTCACAAAAGGGAAAGAAAGGCTGCAGACAGAGGCTTATATGCTGTTTTTGTGTCCTTCCCCCAGAGCAGTGATTAGAAGGGGACTCAGGGAAAGATCACAGTCACTGGTCAGCTACAGATGTTAGTCTTTCCCCACCGTGCTCCCCCTCCCTCTTCTCAGTTTGTTCCCCTGAAAGACTGCCTTCCGAATCTCTGAATCTTTTTCCAAATCGATTTGGGGCGGGGTCCTCCCGATTCAATTTGGATTCGGTGATTCGGCCTCTGAATCGAATCGGCGACCAAAGCTTCGCACACCCCTACCCACCAGGCTGCGGGGAGGGCATGAGCAGGGCTGGGGGAGTGGGCTGTGGAAGGGAAATGAGGGGCAACATAGGGCTAGGGGGCCTGTGAGGGGGCCTTTAATTTTAATCACAGGTTTTGGGTTTATCAGAGAATTTGAGGTTTTTTATCAGAGAAAACCGGGATCCTGGGTCATTAGTTCCCTCTTTTCTAGGGATAACGGAATAAACAGCATCCCTTTTTGCTGGATCATCCCTTTCCCTTGCTTGCTTGCTACATTTTAAGAGTATCAGTTGATATTGGTGAAGCTGATACCAGCACAGCACATTTAACATCCCACTACCTGCCTGTTTGCTGGAAGTACCTGTCATCTATTTACAACATATAGGAGAGGCAGGGATCTGAGCAGGGAAGGCAGCAGGGTGTGTTGTCGTGCAGACTGTACGTATGTACATTTGTGGTTTTATAAACCAAAGCTAGCAGCAGTGCAGATGGTCTGTAAATTAGCTGGCTGGTAAAGTTTTGGGGTTTTGTGCTGAAAAATGTCTGCATTTAGAGGAAACAGGATGTAATTTCCAATTTCAAGACAGAGTCAAAGTGCTCAGTGGTTTGTGCTTGGCCTCAACAGACCTCAAGTCTTTGTGTAATAGGACTATTTGAATTATAACTCCAAAAAACAGATTTTCCAGGCTTTTAAATCAATGCTTATTATTTAGCAGTGCAAAAGTACAGCAAGCCAAGTTGCATGGATGTTGAAGTGATATTACTTAAAAGACGTTCACATCATTATTTTGATCTTAAGTTTCAGGCTGAATTGGGCAGTTGACCGAACTGGGAAGTGGCAAGAATTGGAGTATCCAAGTCCAGCTTATCCAGCCTTTGCTTGTGGGTCTGGTTATGTTATCTCCAAAGACATTGTTCAGTGGCTGGCAAGTAACTCTGAAAGGCTAAAGACCTACCAGGTACTAGAGGTGTGTTTTTGGAGGGGTTATTGGGCAGCTGTTGGGTTGCTCGAGTGCTCTAAGCTGCTGCTTGGAGTCTTTGCCCCAGGGGTTAGATTCTTCCCCTCTAGGTACTAGGATGGTTGTGGGGAATGCATGGCTTATTAGAGGAGAGATGCATGATTTGGGACTGAGAGCTCCTATTCTAATCATGGCCCTTGGAATATGGTCTCAGAAATCACTAAACCTGTCTGCCTCAGTTCCCAATTAGTAAAATGCCATATGCTTATTAACTACCTCAGAAGTGCTTGGATGATTAATTTTACCATTGCCAAAAGCAGGACTTCATGTTATATTGCATGCGCATGGCAGATATCATTTAGTTCCGAATTTCGTAGTGCATGCATTTTCTGAAGCTAATTTTTGCTGTTTATTGTTTGCATTCTGCAAATGGGTCGTTTTAGGGTGAAGATGTGAGCATGGGCATTTGGATGGCAGCAATAGGGCCTAAGCGATATCAGGTGAGTAAGTCTATGGGCATTGTCTACTGGTTTCCAAGGTGCTACTTGGATAGGGCAGGAAGGCTGAGCATTACAGCACTGGGATTGTTTTCTTGTGATGCAAGCTGCACATTTGCTCAGCATCAAGAGGGCTGGACAGTGAGCGCACACACTACAGCAGGGGTCGGCAACTTACGGCTCGCAGGCCAGATCCAGTGTCCGGAGCCCTTGAATCTGGCCTGGAACAAGGGAGGGTGTGGCAACATTTGGTGTCAGAGGAGTTTCTCTCCGAGCTGGTTTGTTCTGGCCTGCCTCTGGAAAACTGTTGCCAACTGCTGGACTAGGCTACAGCCTGGAGGGTATGGCTGTCTTCTGGGCAATGCAGTGCTTTGCACTATTCTAAGGCACTAGCCCCCAATGTGTGTGTGAAGGGCATTTGGAGAATTGGGCCCCTCAAAGGAGATGAGCAAAGGGATCCAATTTTAGATCCTGATCAGGCTTAGGGAGGAGGGTTCTGGGCCTGTGAAGAAACAGACCTCCCTCAAGGAACTGAGAGAACCTGAAAAGCAAACAGGTGCATCTGGGGAGCCTGGGCAGCAACCGATTCTAATTGCATCGCAGTGTTGTATTAAGGCACTTCATTTCCACTGAATGTCGCCTTTGGCCCCTAAAGCTGCCTCTAGGCCTTTGTCTCTACAGCAAACCATTTCCTAACCCCAGGAACAAACAAACCCACACATGGTCTTTGGCAAATGCTCTGGGGCAATTACCCTCATGAATGCATGCTGGGCTTTTCACTTTCAACCACAGCTGGCTCCTCTGCAAGTATTCATTAGTAGTTTTCCACGTCTGACCTGTACTACAAAGGGGCTGCCTGCATTCCAGAATGGCGTGGAGATAAATGAGCAGGCTGAGGTATGGGAGCAGTGTATCCACGGTGGCATGCTGCCAGTACCACAGCATCTCATTTGAAGATGGCTTCTGTGACATTCATGGAGACGTTCTCCCCATGCAGAGAACATTAAGCTTTTACCCATAAGCTACAGTCAGGTTCAGAAGCTTTCTATGGAGGTTAGGGTGAAAAATTCAAGGGCAGCTTGTCTTCATGGGGAAATTCACTAAAAACTGGTGGGAGGGGGAACAACAGAATCCACCTAGATACGCAGAGCTAGCTGCATACTGGGCTTGGAACTATGGGCTGAGCTAGCCCGAGGGGAGGGATTAATAACCTGTCTAGCCCTACTTCATCCAGGAGCTAGGACTTTGTGCCAGCTCCAGTGGCACTTCAGGCTGTAACCACAGAGTAGAGCTTGCTTGGCCTTCACAAACCCATTTTGCTCCCTCTGCTTCATTTCTGCTCACGGATGCTTCAAAGGGATTTGGAACAAAGCATGGTCTTACACCGCTGCTAAAAGCTTGCCTTTTGGCAGAACTTCTGCTGTAGCATTGTTAGAGCCTCTGGCCAGTAGGAATCTAGGCAAATATACGTTGAAGCCAAGTTAAAGGCCCACCAGCATGAGCAGACCTTTTTTTTTTGGTATGAATATTCCTCACCTCAAACATCGCAAAGGTCTAATGGGTAATGTGCACATACCCTCTGCTATACTGTTGGCCACCATCACCAACTCGTGATCCTAGTAACAAGTGTGCAGTAGACCATAAATACCTGATTCACTGTAGCAAGAGTGTTAATGTAGAAGGTGAAATCTTTTTTAAAATCTCTGATTGAACTCACTGTCTCTGACAGGACAGTCTCTGGTTGTGTGAGAAGACATGCGAGTCTGGCATGCTGTCTTCCCCTCAGTATTCTCCACAGGAACTAACAGAGCTCTGGAGGGTGAAGGAACTGTGCGGAGATCCTTGTAGATGCGAGGAAAGATGACAGAGCGGAGGCCAGGCAACGGCCAGGTTTTAGGAGTTACCTAATCAGGAATATTTAAGGTGGTGAATGGTGGGAATTCCACCTGCACTGTATTTGCACATCCCTTTTGATAACTAATTGACTGATACCGTCCACATTAACATTTTCTATAGGGTAGGTGTTGGTCTGAGAAAAACCAAAATGTTTAAGATAAGCAATTTCTTTTTTATTAAGTCAAAGAACTTCTTGCAATGAATAAATGATAAATGCACACAGCAGAATGCCAACTAACTTATTTTTTAAATTAAAGCACTACTGACTTAACTCTGGGCTGGAATACTGCCTGAAGCCTGGATCTAAGTAAGGTCTGAGCCTATGTGTGCAGTCTTACACTTGCTCAGTCTCCCTGAAGTCCAGGTTCTAGGCCAGTATATTTGTTTGCAGAATTAATGTAATTTGTTAATCAAGACAGCAGCAATGTGAGCTTGGGATAGCTGGGTTCAGGGTTTCTCTGGTGTGTGTTTTATACTTAGTTTAATCGTTTGGATGAGATGATGCCAGGTATCAAAGTTTGCTTATACCAAATCTTGAACTACTGCAGATATAGCCAGTTTCAAAAGGGAATTCTGATGGCTCTGTACACACTTGAAAGGGTACACACTTGAAAGTACAGCAGGTTCAAGCAATTTACCAGTATAGACACTACCTTTTAACTTGTAAAGTCCTACAACATGCTAACAAGATATTTTTAATAAATTTTCAAATTCAGCAGTCTGGGCTAACGGCACTATCCATTTTTCTTACTGATTAAGTAGAATACAGGCTTATGTCTGTCAGCCTGTAATCTTAAATATTCTACAAAGCATTGGAGATGCTGTGTTTATGTCCTCTGCTTTCAAGGTCTTTAGAAGTGAAGGAGACAAAGTGATGTAAGTGGCCTTTTCCAGTACAACATTAGTTCTGTTAGCAGCTTGATGCTTGCACCTATTGTAAGTGAAAATACGATTCTGGATTCCATATTATTTTCTGTAATAAATGTACTGTTCTCTCCGCACCACTGCAACACGAACTTAGGGGAAAACCCCTATTCCACAACCATTTAGGCTGCCAATTTAAGGAACCAGCAAAATTCTGCTCCTCTGATATGCTAAACAATTCACTGAAAAACCAAACCACAGTGAGTTGCTAATCTCATTTATTGAGATACTAGTAGCGCAGGGGCCAGGAGTTTCTTTCAAAACAGTTCCATCCCTCTGTACAAAATCCATGTTTTTCCACACAAATACATGCAGGCACAAGTTGTAGAGTGATTCTGTTCAGGTAGTCCCTGGCTTCTCTAATGAAGTTGCACAGTCCTTTTTTAGTCCATTACAAATTTATATTACCACCGTACTAACATGCAGTCTCCATTTTCTATCGAGTAAAATTGCAAGGACTTCAGGTCATTGTCTAGCTCAATTTCTTTACCTTCCATCTAGGATTTAAAAAAAATGCAGACATTCATCAGGCTCATTTGAAACGCACATAAGTGGGAGTTGGATCAGATGGCTGCAGTTAACAGGGATCTATGGTTTTATGGCAGTTGAACAGAGCCTTAAATTACAGTGAGAAGAATGCTGTGCTTTAAGTGAAATGAGTTTCTTTCTGTGGCCTTCTAGAATGCAGTGGTGACCTTTCACGAGTTATATTATTCAGAAATAAGTTTGAATTCATGCATTGATTTACTGAATGTCAACTTACTTTCGAACTTTCATAGGATAGTTTCAGTTCTGAACCAGGAATTTTAAGCAGACGATACAGCAATCCTTTGACCTTCTGAATAGTCATAGAATCTGTTGAGGGGGGAAAAAAAGAAAGCCAAGTATTTAACCAGAACAACTGGCTGTTTGATGCTTTTATGCCCCTGCAACTTTACATTTTCCATGTATGCCAGCAGAGTAGTTAGTCCATAAAATGGTTCTGATTCAGTTCTAAAAGCAAAATCATGCATTTTGTGGTCTGGGGAGAACTGCTAGCACCAAGCTGAGGTCTATTTTATCTTTAGTAGATTAGATTGATAAGTAACATGTTGGAATGCTACTACCTAACCTCTCCTCACCTTAGATACCAAATTACAGATTTTTAGCCTCATTCTTTCCTGTTCATGTTTAGGATGGATGATTGACCTAAGTGACCTTCAGCACGTATCACACACCTTCCCTACTAGCACCCCTCCTGGTCTGATATGGTATGGTATACCATCCTGGTATGTTTGGCCCCAGGGCTCAGCTTTCCCAGAACAAACAGACAAGTATCTTTCTGGAACCATTTCTGTACGCAGTTTGCAGAATTCAGTTACTTTCATTAGTTCTAAACGTATTGCGAGTGGTTATGCACTTACATGATGAACCGATGCAGAGAGCGATGGGAGTGGATATTTTTATAATGGAACCTGAATGAGTAAATTTAGTTTGTAAAAGGGGTTCACTGTGTTTGGAATAGAGATACTGGATATTTTGGTTATTTTTTCATTTTTTTTGAAGCTTTACCTGAAGGCACAGCAATAGTGAGTTATTCCTGTAATGCCACATTGTACTTGGACAAATATTTTTCTATCAAACATTTTGTAAAAGCTGTATCTGATTTTATGCAACTTGTGATAATAAATGTGACATTTATTTTAGAATAAATGTTGAACACGTCTTTCCTCATAGAGTGTGTCTCTCTGCACATTTCACCATCCAGACATGCTTCTTTTCCTGCTTGGGAAGCCCAGAGCTTCAAACGGTCAAAGCTCTGAAAGGAGTCAGTGACAGCTATGAAACCAAGAGGTTCTCCCAGCCACACCATACACTCGGGTAACTGCAGGCACAGAGTTCCCATCCTTTTGGATTAAATTTCTGCCTTAAGCTTTCATTCTGATTTCAGTACCAAGAAGCCCAATTCTGATAACCAAGTCATGATTTTTCCAAACTGAAGCTGGAATTTTGCTGATTGTGACTTATACTGAAGGCAAATTCTTTGCACTTGCTGATCTGAGTCCTACCCCAGCAGGCATTAGTGGGCTACTGCATGTTGTACATCAACTATAACTTGGGAGTTAACAGCATGACTAGTCTTTGGCATTCCCTGGCCTGGACACCGCCTTGCGGACCCCCCCCACTGTACCAAGACTAAAAGGCAGTGTTTAGAATATGTGCAAGCTTCATTTAAAACTTGTACTTTTAAAAATGTTCAACAGCAGAGAGGCTACAACTACCTGCCCTTTTCTGTACTGCCCCCTCCAGTTCACTCATAGCCTGCTCTGCAGAGGGCAGGCCTAGGAGTGAAGGAATTGAGTGACTACTATTTGCCTGTTCAGAAAGATGCCCACTAAGAGTTGGAATTAAGGCAGCAACATGCTTTTTCACAGATCAATGAATAGCCACCACATGGTAACAGGGCTCAATACTGGCTTGACACCAGGCTCATATCCTACTTCCAAATTCCTCAACCAACATTCAGGTTGTTTAGAATAAAGGCACTGGTCCTGTCTTTTAAGGTGGGCAGTGTCTTCAGCTGGTCACCTGTGCTGGCCTCCCCGGAAGCAGCTGCCTCCAGCTATCCTCAGACCATTTACAGACTGTAGAAAAGAGAAGCAAGCACCACACCAGCAGCTGCTGAAACAAACTTGCTAACATCCCGGTTCTTACCTGGTAGTTTCTTCTCCATTGGTTTCTGATCAGGTTTATCAGGACACTTAATTGTCACAGCTTAAAAAAAAAGAAGAAGAAAAAAGGGTCCTGGTGACAAATTTGGCTGGATTTCAAACCCAAGTCTACCACAGCCCACTTCTGGCAATAGCTCTACAGCTCTAGACAGAAGCCCTGAATTGTGGCTGTGTCCAGACAGGTCAGCAGAATAGAGGGTTGGGTTTGGGTTTGGTTTTCCCCTCTCAATTTGGCTAAATCAACAGAATCTGAGCCCTAATTGGAATGTGGAGCTCCTTGTTTTAAGCAGTCTGGTCTGACTTCATATGTTACAGAAAAGCAAAGAATCATCAGCCAAAACTACACCTTTCATCCTGCTCCTCTGGATTTTGTCTCCCCAGCCCATGGTAATGTGTCACAGCCAGCTCTCAAAGGCTTTTGACCCTTTAAGCCCCCTCATGCTACCTCTTCCAGAAATGCTGTCATTGAAATAACCCAATCTACTACACTGTGGCTGTAAGGGCATACTACCTCATCTGCTCTTCCTTTTGTGGATCAATTGTGAGAATGTAGGACACCTTTCTCTGCTGCCTCCTGACAGGTTCCAGGAATTATCCAAAGTTTATCTGCATAATATCTCCAGATTATTCACCAAACTGTATAACTGGGACTTTACACATAAGGTTGAGGGATGACTGTGGACCTTATCCCACAAGACTTCCTGCCCTTCAGGTGTTACAGACACAAAAGTACCAATCTAATAACACTGTAAATATAGAAGGAAATTCTTATGTACTGGAATTGGGTCTGGGAACATTATCAGACTGAACAAACAGGAAGCCAGTAGCATGCATAAACTGGCTTTAAAACTTTAGTACTCTAGAAACAATCTTTTTGTAGCAGCTAGATTTTAAATGCAAAAATGTATAATATATTAATTTCAAAACTCTTACTTAGCAACTGATTTTTCAGAGTGAAAGGCTGTTGTCTTTTCAGTTCCCCTTCTTCGGGAGCACCATACTCTGAAAAACAACACGCATGCACACACACCTCTTAGTCAAATGAAATAAAGCAGGAAAAGCAAAGAAAAAGTTCTGCAGATAAATGTTTCAGCTAAACTCTCTCTCCAGTGTCAGTGCAGAGAGAAATCACCCACTAATCTTTTATGGGATAACCTGGTCCTTGGGATCATCCCACTAGTACAGAACTCTACTGCCCCTCGCTGTTACGCTTCCCTTAGGGGCAAGGACTCCACTCATCAAAAGGTTCTGCGACACAGACTGTGCAAAACCCAACAATGCAACCTCCCACCTTGTCACTTGCTGGAGTCTGCAGCCCTAAGTGAGGGTCCCCTATGCAATGCAGCAATGGAATGAGGGGGAGATCGCTCCACCCCAGAACGCGTGGTAGCCAGAAGTTGAAAATACTCCCCTGGCACATGGGACACGCAGGGTCCACTCCTTGTTTGACCAATTCAGAGCAGGAATCTGAAGCCAGCTCTCAGACGAGTGCCCTAAACCCACCAGAACACCAGATATTCAGAGCAGGTCTCAGATTTGCTGATGTTTTAGTTTGTATAAATACAGATTTATTGGAGCGGGGACTCAATCCTGTCTCCCACACACCAGAGACTGCCCTATCCACCCACTTAGACACCCAGTGAACAAGGTCTGCAATTGGGACATGAATCTTGGTCTCCCATACCTCAGGAGCACGTGAAGCCACAAGCTCATCTTGAGCAGAACGCACCAGCGTATTCTAAACACGTCTACAGGACCGGGCCCTTCTAGAGAATCCTGTTTCAGGGCTGCCAGGGCCCTGACCTGTGCAGTGATGGTACTGGACAGACAGCTCTGCA